GCTGCTTTCACTGGAAGAAGTCCCCGTCCCCTCCCCCCCCAGCGCTCCTCAGTCTTTTAGCACTTAACATTTTTCATATGTCATTCTCATTTGTACTAGAGCTGGAGAAAATCGAGAGAAGTTACCTTTCTACTGAGAAATTCTCTCACCAGTGATGCAGCCACTTCTTCCACAAAGGAGTTGTCCATTTTTTAGCCCCAAATGTGCTTAGTGGGCGTATTCGTTCCTTCATCGAACAAATCAGTCAAGTCTGCCGACATCGAAGCTCTTCCGTACGGCTTTTAACTACTGCAGCCCTGGAGCAGCGGCGGGCTGGAGGTATGTTGCTCTGGAGACCATGTCATCGGAAGCAGGGAGAACTCCTCCCCCTGGGAAGGAAGACGATGATAGACTTAAATTTGAAAGAGCTGATGGTGTGACACTGCAGGAAGCATCTCGGTAGTTGCTTTCAGTAATGACATTTGAGAAAGGACTGTTCAAATCTGAGAGAGGGGACAGTTTTCTGTTTTGTTTTGTTTTTTTTTAAAAAAGCATACCTAGTCTTTTTCAACCTATTACTCCTGTGCTAATGTACATTTTAACCATATATGTTTCTTTAGTTGAATTGCACTCTTGTATAAAACAAACAAAAAATACAGCTGCTAAATTAAGCTTAATCTCATACTGGCAACATCTGGGGAGGAACATTCCTCAGATGAATCTTTGATTTCAGATTGCCCCTTCTTAGCCAGTAATACCTTGTGTTAACGGGAGGGACTGTGGTGACTCACACCTTGGGCAGGGGGTCCGATTTCGGTTGGAGAGCTTGTGTAGCAGAGTGCCCTGCTCAAAGCAGAGTGTTGTCACAGGGTGGGGATTCCGCAGCCTCGGCGACCTCTTCCAATATCTGACCATTCTTAGGTGGTGTTACAGAGGCACCCCAAAACAACTTCACACAGATAATAAACTTAAAATTTAATCCATAACTAAATCCAAACAGCCAAAACTAATGAGACAACAGAGGTAACCAAAGTAATGCTGTGATAACATTTCACACATTGTAGGTTTGATGTACCCGTTGGGGAAGTTGTTACTACACAACGACACATAACAACAACACGTAACGATGATTCCGAAGCGTGCAAACACACAAGGGCCGGCCTCACTCAAGGGTGCCAAGAAGATGTAATTGCTCACCCAAAGGGATGAGGGCTCACTCAAGGGCATCCAGCAGAAGTATTCACTCACCGAGGGGGGGTGAGGGCTCTCAGTCCTGGGAAGTTACTTTGGACAACATCTCCATCCAAAGGGAGGGCTTCTGAACACAGCCCCACTGCTCCAGGGAGATCCTCTCCAAGGGGGCCTCTGGCAGGAGCTCGTCTTACACATCTTATAGCCTGGTCAGATGGGAACTGCGGTCATCAGTTGGTCATGGTCCTGAGTCTCCTCTGGACCAAGGTCCCCCATTGGCTGGGGACCCGGCCTGTTCCCACCTGCCTTTTCCCAACACTGGAAGGGGGGTAGGGGTACATGGTGGTTGGCACACGACCAGGGTGCAGCAGCCATTGTGCACTGCAAGGGTATGAAAGAGCCAGTGGCTGCTGTGTTAAGAGCCCTAGCCCCTGTTGGAGAGGTCTGCTCCTCCTACACATGGGTAAACTATTTTCCTTAACAAGTTTAAATTTCCCTTGCTTCTGACTGTTTCCTCTTACCCCTTTAACAAACCCTTTAAGACAAATCCATCTCTGTCTTTTCTTTAACCCCTGGTCAACAGTTGTATGTAGCCTCCAGACCCTCAGCTGGTCTTTTTCTCTTAAGGCTGAGCAGACACTGCCCTTGCAGTTTCTCCTTGTGTCTTATGTCCTTCAGCCCCTTCGCCTTACTGGTGATTGCTGTACTTGGTCCACTTCATTCATCTCTCATAAAGTGAGCGGTGAGGGAAGGAAAATAAAACACCATATTCCGTATGCAACCTCAGGAGTGCTTCACGGAGGGGCATTTGTGCTTTTACTTGTGTGTTCCAGTATGTGGTTAGGTGCCTTTGCTGCCAGTGCATCCTACTCACTGATTTTCAGCTAGTCTCCCTGCTTGCCAAGATCCTTTTCTGCGAGGTTGCTTTCTGTCATAACCAACGCTTAGGCTGTATTATTGAGTTTGTTTATTTCATTGTTGTTGCTGGACTTCACATTTGATTTTCACATCACCCACCAGTTTTTCCATATGCATGTGTAGCAGATTGTCATGATTTCAGCTGGGATGGAGTTGACTTTCTTACTGGCAGCTGGTATAGTGCTATGTTTTGGGTTTGGGCTGGGAACACTATTGATAGCACACTGATGGTTTTGGTTGTTGCTGAGCAGTGAAGGCCCTTTCTGCTTCTCACACCGCCCCACCAGTGAGTTGGCTGGGGGTGCATGAGAAGTTGGGAGGTGACCCAGCTGGGACAGCTGACCCCAACTGACCAAAGGGATATTCCATGCTATGTGACATCATGCTCAGCATATAAAGCTGGGGGAAGAAGAAGGACAGGGGAGAGAGGAAGTTCATAGTGATGGCATTTGTGTTCCCAAGTCACCGTAATGCATGATGGAGCCCTGCTTTCCTGGAGATGGCTCAACACCTGCCTGCCAATGGGAAGCAATGAATTCATTCCTTGTTTTGCTTTGCTTGTGTGCACGGCTTTTAGTCTGCCTATTATACTCTCTTTATCTCAACCCATGAGTTTTTTCTCACTTTTACTCTTCTTATTGTCTCTCCAATCCCAGCTGAATGAGTGGCTGCATCATCCTGGTTGCTGGCTGGGATTAAACCACGACACAGATTCAGCAGACTACCCCTCTTCATCAACTTGTCTATGCAGCACAATGTCAAAATATTATTGTCAACACACTCTGGAATCCAGTCTCTTGCGTTGTTTGTGCTAGGCCACGTTTCTCTTCCATGAGATTTTGAGGTGCTTAAAATCCTCTATGAGAAGCAGGACCTGCTAATGGTGAAGCTTCTTCCAGTTCTGTTCTCCAGTCATCATTTCTTCTTGATGGAACAGACCGTGGCAGATCCCCACAGCAATGGCTCTTTTGTTGACCTTCCTTTTGGTCCTGACCCATAAGCTCTTGACTGGCCCATCTTTTTTTTTGCATAGGGGATCTCTGCATTCACGGCACTGCTGTGCATATGGCACAGTTCTCCTTTCCCCTCTTCCTGCTTCTCTTTTTTTGAAATCCTGTATCCATCCAGTCAGCTGACCTATTTTAGCTAGTTCTAGACCTGGTCTTTTGCTCACTTTTGGGTTAGTTTTGTGTCCAGAGGTATCAAATTGTATACCTGCAAGAACAAATAGCTGGGTTTTGTGTAATTTTACTTGGTAGGGAATCGGCTGAAATCTCAGCCTTAAATCTGCCACACATGCGTGTCAGCTCTGTGGCTGACAAAGTGTGGGATGTGCCTCACTAAATAAACCTTACAATGGCAGAATGCTCAGTGGAGATGGGCAGGGGTGATGTGCCCATGAAGCTCAGAGAATAGTGCAAAGAAGCAGACTTTATCTCAACACCAAGGGGACCTGGGAGTGGTTTATTGGTTTAGATAAACACCTGTCAACAGTTGAGTGGATCAACTGGTGGTGTAAATGTTTCTCCCTGAGTTCATCAAAAGAGTGTGAGTGTCTCCCTGTGTTAGCCAGACCAGCATGGGGGGAGTGTGTGCACGACTCAGCCCAGCAGAGAGTATAAATCCTAAACAACTAGCAAAAGCATTTTGAAGGGAGCAATGGGCTTGGAATGGCTTCAGCCCACGTATTTGTTCCCAGTTACCAGGGATGCCCAGCATCCTAACAATGAACATATTATAGAGACCAGTAATGGGGATCGTATTGATGGTGTGATTGAACTGCCTATTGCAATTGCTATATTTTGCTTAGTGTAACTTAAATTTCTCTTGTGGTGTTGGTATAATTTATATCGCTCTGCTAAATCAGAAATCTCACGTGACATCAAATATCTTCAAATAAGCACATTTGATATTAAACAATATACCTTCCATGTGTGGAATATATGGAAGAATCCAGTCAGAACGTATTGAACTCTGACAGGCTCTTGGAGAGCTTGAGGAAATGGCATTTTGCAAAAGTTTTGCGTAGTTTCTCTGTATGTCCTTTGGAGACAGCTGGGAAACAGAAGATAGCCTTGGGGTGGACCTATCATGTGCCTTCAGGTTGTCAGGGAAGGTAATTTGCCATTTATTCAGAAAATCAGACATGCAGTGGGCCTGACCCTTCGTTACTGTTGTCAGTTCCGACTGTCTGCTCTGTGTTAACTCGATGGCATTTTATGTTCTAGAACGTGATGCGGCATGTGAAAGAATGCTTGCTATGGTATGCGTGCCCCTGTCGCCCCCTTCATTCCAGGAAACTATATTCCAAAATGAAAGTGGAACATGATTTTGATAATAACAATTTAGCAGTAAAGGTGCAATCCTCTGGGTCTAGATTAAAGACGGGGAGATCGCACGCCAACTACCATTGTCAGCAAAAGAGATTCAAGTTGGGAAAATATAATTTAATTTATTTTCAATTTTAAAAATAGAGCATGATGGTGAGAAACAAACCAAAAAAAGCATGTTCCCCCCACCCCTTCTTCTTCCCAGCCTCAACTTCAGTCCTTCATTCTTGACTCTCCTAAGTTGTCCCCATGGAGTGAGGCAGGGGGAGTGGGGAATGGGGGTTGCAGTCGGTCCATAAAAGCTTCTCTCTACTGCTCCTTCCTCTTCCCACCTTTCCCCTGCTCCGACACAGGATCTTCCGCAGGCTGCATTGTGGATATCTGCTCTGGTGTGGTGTCCTCCGTGGGAACATCTGCTCCAGTACCTGGAGGACCCCCTACCCCTTCTTCTTCACTGACCTTGGTGTCTGGAGTGTTGTTTCTCACACTTTTTTTCCTTACCCCTCACACTCTGCTGCACAACAGTTTTCCCTTTCTTAAATACACCGTCACAGAGGCCCCACAGGCCTTGCTTATGGGCTCTGTTGTGTCCTGCCCATTGTGGAGCTGTCTGGAACCCACACTGTCCAGCGTGGGGGCAGCCCCTGGTCTCTTCTCACAGAGGGCACCCCTGCTCCCCCCTCCTGCTACCCACACCTTGCCACCTAAACCGCTGATCACTGAAGTGTCTGAAGGAACGGGGATGGCATAATGTAATCACTGCACAGATTTTCAGCTACTTGGAATTAAATGTTCT